AGATACGTAATCAGAGTTTTCAGTGAACAATTTTCTAGGGAACATATTCAGAGTCACAGGGATGTAGTATCGCGCACTCGTATCTACTTGTGTCTATATGGTGACGTATCCTCTCTGGTGGTTTACCAACTCGTCTTACATACGCTCCGTGTATTTGCTTTACCATGATTCGTTGCTTAAGTGGAAATGTAACTGTTTCTCGACATGTCATGAACTTGACACTGGTGATGGTACAAGATAGTCATAATGGTCAAGGTATAATCCTGGTCATGCTGAAATCACACAATTTCTTCAATAACAATCGTAACTAAGCATTATTATTCGTGCAGAGGAATGTGTATGAAAATTTAAAAATTTGTGACCTTGTCTTTGAATATTTTAGGAGTTTTATGTATGTATGTACAAGAAAATGTCCGTCTATTGTGATACTCTAGAAAATCCTGTCGTGAAATTAAAGCGAACTAAGTTTCATAAAATTTCATAAAGATTGAGGGTACCTCAAATATACTAATATTCGATTATATTGGAAAAAAAATTACGTATTATATTTTTAGTCTATAAATCATAAGAATATCATTCGTATTGTCCATCTACGTTAATTCATGCTCGTGACCAGTTCTTTACAAGTGAAGATCAGGGGCTTAGAATGGAAGAAATACTATCGTTTCTAGTTCCTATCGTATATTTATAATTTACGTAATACGAAATGTATATAGTCGGTCCACGTGTTAGATGTTTTTTTTTGACAAATGAAAAATAATAAAGCCTCCAGCAAGTGACAACGTGGCTCAGCATAATATTTTTCTTCCAAAGTATGCGTGTGCTTGGTTTTGCACTGAATTATATTTTATTTTTCTATTCCGGTATATGTCACCATGAGTTCATGGAAATTCATGTGTGATTTGTTAAAGATTACATTGTTTGTGAACTGTCTAAAAAAAAACACATTGAACTCGTGGACCAACTATAGTCTGTCCATGACATGGGTTAAGGGGGTATTCCGGTATAGAATTTTGAATAAATCAATTTTTTTTGCATATTCTTAAAGTTTAGACCTTTAAGAATATATTCTCGAGAGACCATTTTAAATTTCCAATGGTTTACGGAAGTATAGCTATTTTAGTGACGCAGCAACGAAGCCCGTCACGCTGGAGAAAATCAGACAATAGACGGTTGACAATGTCTGATTACCTGACCATTTTTGGAATTAATATATTATATAAATCTATGAATATAATATTTTCAAATCGAAGAAGGCACACTCTGTGAACCAGGAATTGCCGATTAACAAAATGTAAGTATAACGTACCATTCTATGACTTAGACTGCTGCGGCTGCTTGAAACTTTTTCTCAAAACTACGTTTTTCAACATGGTTGACATGATATCTCAAGTTCTATTTAACGAATTTACTTCAAATTTTGTATCAACCTTCAATATATCAACCTTCTATTGCCCCTACCACTTTTGTATAAAAATTATTTTTTTACTATTTTGAAAAATTAAAAATGATGAAAAAGAAAAAGTCGAAAAATGCCTTTTTTTCAGACAGTCGCTATTTTCTCAATAAATATTTTTCCGTGTTCTCTTACGTAGAGACTATAACGACATTCTTACTAATTAAGAATCTTTCTTTAAATTTTGTTTTAGATGACCAGAAGAGTTGCAATCATGTCAACAAGAACACCCCTTTTTTTATCCCCAACTTTACCAGCTTATAACTTTTTTAATTTTAAATTTTTTTGGAATTTTTTTGTATATTCCTAAAATATAAATAAACATCTTGCAAACAAATGAATAGGAAAAATATATTTTTTTATCGAACTCGAGAAAACATCTAAAATTCATCCCTCTAGACCAGAATATCCCCTTAAATAAGTTTAAATTCTAAGCCTCACAGTAGCTTGTTCGAATGTACAGTAGAAACAATTTATGTATGAATAATCTTCATTTGGTAAAATAATACAAATCTGATACGATTATTATTTCATATATTTTTTATCGAAACTATAGCGCGTCCTTTAATTTTTATCAATAAAATATTAGAAGTAACCTGCCATTTACCAGATTATCCAGCTCCACTAGTCTCTCGTAAGGTTATTTGCTTATGGATGGTTATACAAAGGGTAAAGATGGTTATACAGAATGAATGTTTGGAACGGAACAATCACTTAAACTCATTTTAGCAGTTCTATTACATATTCACTTACGTCCGTCGTCATTGTGGGGTTAAAGTCAACTCTCGACTCGTTTGCGTTGCGAAAACCAAGCGCCCGATCGGAAATCAATTGGGACCATGAATCCGTGATAGTCGTGACTGGAAAAGATCGCGATCGGTCGCCCTCGACTGCCTGGAGGGTCTCCGTGCTCGCGCTACCGAGCCACGACGTTCCAGAGCAGCTAACAAAATCAAATCGGTGGAACGTCCGTACAGGTAGAGGAGGTGATCGCTTTTCCCCAAGCAGGTCGCTTTGAAAACGCGGAGAAAGATATCAGGGTTCTTAGAAAGTGCGAACCGGTACTCAGGAAACCGGTCAGAGCATCAAATGGACTAGCGAGTGACGTCACGGCAACATTTTAAATTCTCACCTGCTTCAAAGAACTATCATTACTTTCCACGTAAGCGCATCGCCTTTCCTTTAATCTCCTTGGAAGAAACCGAGGATGAACTCGTTCCAATCCACAGCTTACATTGAATGTCTAATTTCATGATTTCTAACGCTCAATGATATTACGAATAAAATAGGATATACCTATATTTGTATACCAAACTAATTTATAACTGAACAGAATGAAATCTGAGTTGAGAACTTAAAAAATCACAATATTACTCACTTATAGGTAAGAAAGTTCCGAAGACATTTATTTAGCGATTCTTATTAGTGGTTCATTACTGCGGTATAATTGAGAATCAAGTATGAATCTTCAATAGATTGGGATATTATATAGAGACTTCCAGATGTAGAAATATCTGAAACTATCGTGCATTCAGCATCTTCGAGTATGTATGTGCAGGTAATGAATATAGAATGTTTGGAGTTTGGTTACCAGTCATGAATACCGATTCGCGCATTTACCCTGCGCGGTCGGTAATAAGGAATCTATGCGATTCGTAATGATACCATTGCAGACTAGCGCCGCGGTAACAGTTTCTCGTTACTTCGTTCAATGAGTCGGTGAGAAGGATGCCTGCCCACGAGTTTCTACTCCTCGGTATACCTTCTGGACGCTTATGTTCTCCGCGGATTACGATTCTCGATGTGGCGGCCGCAAGGTTTAGACCCTGTCAGGGTGCAACTCCTCTGACCTTTGAACTACACCTTGGCTTCTTGAATTTGACCTGTGCGTTTTATTAGCAGAGAGAAAGAGAGAGAAAGAGAGAAAAAAAAGTGAGAGAGAGAGGCTCCGTTTTCACGAAATAGAATTTATTGATCTCCTAAATTATTTTGGATGTCTTATATATTTTTTATTTTTGTAAGTGCACATCCATATTATTTTAAGAGGTTCAGTGCTGATAATTATAATTGCAATAGGGAAGTAGGGGTTAAACACGGAGGAAAAAAATATTCCAAGATTTTTATTTCAAAAAGAAGTGAGTGAAAATATAACATAATCTCGACATTCAAGCCAAAAATCAATACATTCTACCCTACGAAAATCAATATATTGAATTCTATCGTTATTCATTCTTATAGGTTAAGTATATCTATACATGTGGTGGGGATTGACACTTAGATTTTTTATACCTCACAAACTATACGGTAAATTATATTCCAATTTTGCATAGGCGAAGATTTTGTTATTGTTTTGTTATCTTGGATTATGTGTTACTACCTAACCTCCTTAAGGTAAAACGATTTTTACGTCAATTTTCAACATTTATGCAGCATAGTCATTTAGTGGTATTTTTTTGTAGTCTGCCATATTGATTGTGATAATAGTCCACGATAAGATGTACAATTATAGTATGAAGTAAGGTATGCTTTTATTTGGTTCTTTTTTATTTTAATAAGAAAAATAAAACAAACTGATTTCGTCTCGATGTGGAATGATTCGATTGTAAATTTTAATAGGTGAATGTCCGGCGGCTGTTATCTTTCGCATAACGTGACTCTAGTTTCAAAAATATAAAAGGTTTCTCTCTATCTCAGTTTCGCAGCTGAAAAAATGAAGATGTTTTTTGCACACTTGGTGTAAATGACCATGGATTCTATGCATTACAACTCTAGTTCTGTTTGTGCGGAAGAACTCGCATAGAATGGTGGTAACTAGTTGTATTCAGACATGCAATGGTTTCCGATAATTACCCGTTGATTACATTAACGATACCGTGAAATAGTCGAAGCGTGGTTGAGGCATTAGAAAAATTGACACTATCTGAAATTGCGTTCAAGTTCTCGACTCTTAAGATAAGGTACAGATATAGAATGTTCACATTTCTTGTTTTCATTAAAAAATTTTATGAGTTTGTAATATACAAAGATTAGCAATTATCATTAACTTTTTATGAAGTGTTTTAATCCTTCTCTAAAATAGTAATTATTATTCTTTTTCCGTCTTCAGTCAACATGTCATGGTACAAAGTTCGATTGATTGGCCATTTTTAAAATTTTATATCAGCGTTAACATATAGGCAACTCTTGCATAAGGTGTAGCAATTTGACTCACCTGAAAGAAAAATCTATTATAACTTTATATTATTATAATATTACTTTATCGCAGAGTAATTATTTTTCATTGACCTGAAGTGCTTAACCGTTAATATCTTTCGAATAAAATTCCGACATAGAAGATGTACTTTGAAGATAAATATAGAGATAAGAAAGTCGCGCACTAAAGTCACGGCAGCGTGGTTTAATTTGCTGCATTATTATAGGCAGTAACTTTAATAAGTCTGTAAATTGTACGTACTTAAAATATTTTATTAATCTGTAAAATTGAAAACTTAATAAATTACTTAGTTTCGTAGTATTATATTAATTATTATAAATTTTGTTACAGGAAAAAATGAAACTTATGTCACTGATTCTAGGACTGGTACTGATAACATCTGGTAAGTTTTGTCTCTGTTTATTGATAGTTGTAATGTTCAAAGATTGCAAACCATATTTGTATCAAAGAAATTCGTATTCAGCAATACGGATTGATGTTTAATAAAATCTAAGTAATTTTCGAGACCAACCAGTAATTTCGGTTCACACGAAAATTAAATTAATATCACGATGAATCAAAGAGAACTAACGAAGGATACAAAGTCAAATCGTCGCGGAGTGAATGTCATTTTTACAATTTTTTGTGTATCGTTATAAATATTATGTCTCACCTTATTGTGAGGTAAATATTTCAAATTTGTCCCATATGGGTGACGATAACGAACAGAGGGGGAGTTAGTGACCCCCGAAACCTTGGTCTGAGTAAGTTCAAGACAATCGATGTAATATAGATCTAGTAATAAAAAGGAAAATCAACCGACACAGCGAAACGTGGCTTTCCTATAAATTATCTCTTACATTATGTGCTTACATGGTAGTCCAGTCCTAACTTATAAAAATCTCGTGCATATGGATCCAGTTCGAATTTCATATATTTGTGTGTTATATGCCGATTATATATTTTAGTGTACATTTATTATTAAAAAATATGAATTATTCAAAAATTTAAAAGAATTTATGCAAAATAGATTAGATATTTGATGGATCAAACGAATCAAGAATGTTCACATCCACTATGTCATCTTTATCAAATCTTCAGAGAAATATGACGATAGGAGAAAATATTTGTTTTTCCATGAGCGTTGCCTTATCGCATCCGCAATCTGAAAATTGAAAATTACAAATATCAGGAAATCCGAACGCAAGAACCGAAGCTGTTTTTTCTGTTGGGATGAATACAGAAAAAATAAGGAGAGTTGTAGAAAAAGCAATATCCCGCAATAAATTGATTTTCAATTCTTTAAAAGAAAAGAAATGCTAGAAGGCCTAGGAGGATCTCGTTGAGTTGTAAAATGTGAGCGAATAATTTTATCAATTTCTTATCAGTTTTCTATCTATTTTGGACCCGAGATTCGAAGAGAGATTCTGATCCATGTAGACGTTGAAAACGACCTTATGCAGTAAGAGGATACGAAATGCATCATAAATTGACTTCGACAGCTTTAAACTGAAGTTTTAAATTATGCTTTGGAGCGTTCTACGACAGTTGTAATAAATCTAGAACAATATTTAAGTGTTTAAACAGTTTATGCTTGCTTAGAGTAATGATTCACGTTTATTATGGCTCTTATTGTTTCTCTATAGATTGTATTATTTGATTTGATACCGTCGAAAAATATCGTACCTTCACGAACTGTCAATCTGGCACAACGCATGCTGCAAGGTGATTTGAATTGGCTAATATTGAAATTCCCGAAATTCAATAGGCATCTCGAAACTTCTTAATTACTGAAGTTGATCTTTACAAGCCAAGTAGACTCGTGCTTGAACATAAAAATAGGATATCTGATTATTCCAGAAAACGAGTTGCAAATAACTCGTGAAATTTGGAAAGACAAACATTTTAATGCATGATAACCGTATTTCTTACATGCTCTTAAAAGAACTTTAAACACCGAAAAATTGGAAGTGTGAAAATCTTTATTGCCACTCAACTGCCCTATATTAACGCACCAGACGTCCGCTCGGCGTTTGCGTCAAGCACCAAAAACTTTTATTGCCACGACGAGAGCGTTACGCGGAATTCCAAAGTCAGGCCTGGTCTTCGACAAGGATGTCCAGTATTCTTTATCCTAATGATCCCTCTCGTGATTGGTGACAAGTAAAAAACTCCTACTCTTGGATTTTTGACTTTTACACCAGTGAGATTAGCTGTTCCATCCGAAGGGAAAACGGCACAGCGTCCCTCTTTTTAGAGGAAGTTGTCGTCACCATTCACGAAGGGTAGTAAAAAACTTCACTTCATGAAGTAAGCATCGAACTCGACCGACAACACACTCTTTCAAATTGTTCTCAATGTTTCTACCGAGATCAGCTCATTGTTGTAAATAATTGTGAGTAAGTTAACCTGCTTTTAGTTTATCTACAATTGTTTTAACTAACAGCCTTTACCACATTAATTTGAGGTGCGGGAGTTCACGCTTTCTACAGTGTCGAACAGTAGGCGTTCGGTATTAGGATTTAGGGTCCTAATTGACTCGCATCGTAAGTCGAATCGCACTGTGAAGCTAAGCAATGAGCTCAGATATTGTTTCAAGTGCTCCAACAACAGTAAGTCGATCATTCATTGAGAGTCGTGTGGAATTTTGGAAATTTCTATTTGCAATAACTGATGCCTTAACTGGCTTCGGTAGAATTGCGAACGTGTTAAAAAATCGTTTTGTTCGAAGCTTATAATAAATTCCATTTTTTGCAATACCGTGACTAAAGTCATTAAAGAGGGTCTACAATCAGCTATAGATACTCTCTTTGATATAATCAGAAGAAAGATATTTGACGGATAGAGAAACATTCTATAATACATGTAATAATTGAAGTTTGAGATGTGTAGAATTCAATCGGTCAATTCAAAGTTGATAATAGTTCAATTAAATGTACTATACTCTTTTGAAAGTCTTATAGTCGTAAAGTGCTGCGTTAAGTAATAGTAATTATTATTATAATGTTTATATATTATTTAATAGAAATTGAAATTCTTCTAACTATTTTATTAATCTTCAGTTACATACTGAGTATTTAAATAAATTATAACTGCTATGTACTGTATTATTCGTAATTCTTTGTAGACATTTTCTCAGCCTTGTCTGTAGCGGTTGAAGTTGCCAAAGATGATCCAATTAATATGGACCCGGATAAGCATCCCAGTGTTGAGGCGAAAATTGAATTGGTATATTCTGTAGATTGAAAAAGCTAAATTTATTATAGTATAAAAGATAATAATCCTGAATTTATAGAAATTCAAAGGAACAAGAAAAATTGTTATACCTGAGATGAAAGACGCAAAATGTGTAAAACTTGAACTAAGGTTTAATATTCATTTGAAATAGTTAGGGAAATGTTGAAGAAAAATATTCGCTAAAATTTGTATATTACTGTTAATTATAAATACGTCAAGAACAGCATTGCAGATAATGTACCACGAAAATGACCCATTTAAAAAAAAAACAAAAAATCTTATTTACATCACACAAAAAGTACTTTCGAAATTTGTTGGAAAGTCGAAGGCAAAAATGGCCACCCAGAAATTGGCAGGAAACTTCCAAGGAAACGGAGACCTGACACATAGAGGGGATAGTTCTTCGACAATCGTCACATCTAATTTTAGCTACAGACTTTTACAAGCGATAGATTTACAATAGGAATGCCATCCGCCGGTAACGGAGCGTTACAAGATGAAAATCAATTATAGTTTCTGTATCATAAATTTGGAAGAATATTCTCATGCATTGCGAGAGAGAAAAGAAAGATTTGGAGTTATTAGGTCCCCATACAAGTATTGGAGGGTTAATGGTACCAAGCCCATTGTTAAGAATGATAAAATTAATTTCGTTTCCATAATACGTTATTAAACTTATTCTACTGGATGATAAATAGTTACACGTTCATATGTGGAACTTGTTAATGTAAGTTAGTCTTATGTTTTTGCCATTATTATGCATTTCCTTTTACTTTATACCACAAGTTCGTATTGCATAGATGTGTGGATAAGCGTGCGCGAGTCATGGAAGCAATCTAGATCGATTCGGTACACCATTCCAATGCAAAATAGTTTGGCGTGCATGCATAGTGATATATGTACTATGATCGACATGAACACGGTATGCGTGAAGTGCATTTTGACGCGATAGCACATTTTATTTATGTATATCAATACGGTAAATTTTATATCGCTTTATTCTATATTTCAATATTCGTTCAGGGCTGTGCGAAATTGGACGCGACATATAATAGGATTTTTAACACTTTACAAATCACATGGTTATTTCTTCTAGCACGCAAGGACTCCTTTGCTTCAATTTGTTATGTTACTTTCTGACTTACATTAGTTTAAAAGGTTCTAATGGTGCTCACACATCTAGGTTTATACGATGATTTTCTATTGATTTTTTCACCTATATATATTGAGTAGCTTAAACCCGGTTTTATAGATTTACTCTCTGTCAGTGTATTTAACTCCTTGACTGTTTATGATGTGTATACACGTTATGAAGAAAAGAAGTCAATAAATTCACAGCTTTTCATGAAAATTGGTAGCAAAGGAGTTTCTGGGCCGTTGAATGCCGATTTGTTATAAAAATTCAAAAATTCAAAATGATCAACTACAATAAATAAAAATGTGATGCATTAATGACAATCATTAGGTATATTGATTTGTGGATTACTCATATCGGCAGTATAACAACTTATTTAGTAGTATAAAGATTTATGTTTACAATAGTTATTACTTATTAGTTACTATACTGAATATTTGCCGTGCAAATATATTGCCGTGCAAATATATTGGAATAGGCAAAATTACCAATTTTGGCGAGAATCATGGCGGGAATATTCTATTCTTCAAAAATATTATTGATATTTTAATATTTTATTCGTTGTCACTGCACAGGTAGAATAAAAATATTGCACGCAAACGTGTACACAATGAACGAAAAAAGATGAAAGAATGAAAAGTTTGGACAGTTATAGAGGATTATGCAAAATTTACAAATGTCCATCGTTTCCAATTTCGAAATGATGCTCAAATTTATAAAATCCGAGAACTTGTTTATGCTTTTTTTTAATTTTAAAATCCCGAATGAATCATTGAACCAGTTTGTTTGAGAGTTACATAAAAGTAAGAAATTTGAATATATTTTAGTATGAATGTAAAACACGTTTAGTATTTTCGATTTGAGAACGACGCCAGTAGAAAATTTAGTAACACTTACAGCAGGTTAGTGACAAATGTCAAACCTGTTCACCCCTATATTTTCATTCCGAAATACATTGAAAAAGAACAGAGCTTAAATGAAGCATTTCTATGCCACTATCAATGTTAACGATGCGTAAAATATGCGTAGATCAGGTTCCATAGGTAACAAGGTAATGTTTTATTTTGCATCCTGAAAGTAACTATCATTTTTAATATTACGCACAACATTTTTAACTTTCGTGACTGTTCATTGAATAATAATCCAAATTTTGTTTCTTCTTCTTGTCTCTTCTTATTGTTTTGAGTATATCGGCAGATCGTGGCAGATGCACAAATGTATTCGACAACCACGAGAATTATGGGAATAACGGCTTACGGAAGCTAGCATCAACGGCGCTAAGTCATGCTATCGTAATATCATTGAGAACACTATAAATTTAAGAAATTAATGAACAGCAGATTAGCAAAGGACTGTAATTGCTAGGTACTGTAGGATACATGCGGGAGTAACATATGCATTCAGCATTGAAACAAAGAGCCGAGTGTGTTTATCTATAAGCACACAAAATTTTGTTCATAAAATTGAAAAAAAAAAACGATTAATCAATCGGGATAAAATGTGAGGGGACATCAATTTACTTCATTAGGAGAAATTCTGAGGATAGTACCTCGAAATGTTGTGTTACTTACGGAGATCGTTATTAGAGCAGTATAAAAGAGTTATTGAAACAGATTGCGTTTTTAATACTAGTGTAATTATTTCATTTAGTTGACAATAGTTCATAATTTCAGTCTTTTTTATTATATTTACAAAGATCTGTACAACAATAACTAGTTTTTGTTCATTTGGACAAACAAGATAATAGCGGTATTAATGTTACTGCTGGGACTACCATGGGAGCTGCAACGGTTATGATGGCACAAAAATTCCTATCACAATTCATCAGAGGCCCCTAGACGGGTGTCTTGGCACATGTCGGTCAAGAAGCAGTGGATCGCATCATTGAAGATTTTATAGATTTTCATCGAAGAGCAATCTATTCACAATGAAATATAAAACTTCTGCGATATCATCTCCTAGATGATTGTCCTTTAATTCATCATTTTTTCTTAAAGCCTTCATTCCCTTCTACCACTGAATGTTATTATTTGTTGTCGAAAGATACTACAATTAATGGATTATTCAATATCTAACATTTGGATTTACTTTTTTATCAGATATTATACAGATTTTAAAGTAATGCAATTAGGATATTCTTAAATTCGATATTTAGAGAAAACAATATTGTCTGCTCTAGGTCTGGCGGTGGAGCTAACTAAAACTGTCACAGAATACGAAAATGGATACCAATACCATTGCCATCCTACAGAAAGAGACAACAATGTAAAAATTAATCCAGAGCTTGAATCAATATATGATAGAAGCATCATAAGAAGTCATATTCCTATGGACCTTTCCCACATGAAACGATTCCGAAGATTTTTGTGCCGATCCGGTTTTGACCCCTTTGTGGTCATAGAGAATGGCAGTACTGTCGATAAGCTGAATCAAAGTTTTCGCAAGTTCATGTACGTCACCCCGTATATCTTTGGGATCTTCAAGTATGGCCGCAGCAACTGCAAGTGTGAGCAAGAACAGCCATTCGTATGGTTTAACTTTCGTGATCAAAGCCACGGGGAAAGGATAATTTACGATTATTCACGGAACGTCCTCGTATTTTATGGGAATTTACAAAATATGACAATAATCAATAGGTTGCTTACCAATATTTACTTTCACGTTAAGTCACTCAAATGGCGTGATCCGACTACAGCGAAGATATTGGTGGATCTTCACTGTATCGAAAGAATTTTGGTAGTGATGCTACCTTATTTGCGAGAGCTCAATATTAATTATTATGTGGAGACGATACTTAATGGCCTTCGCACATTTGTCACGTCTAATGATCGAATTAGGATTACTTTGTCGGAGGTTACTCGGGATATTCTAGAATCTTTTATGCCTGGTTTGCACGATCAAATTCTAATGGAACTTCATTTAATTGGGTCTAAAGGATTTTTAATCACTGCAGATTCCATTTTGGCAAGATTAGGCATTGAAAATGGTACAAGTTCAAAATTATTTTCTAAGTAACATTATATCCTACTGTTCTGTATGTTTTGATAAAACCGGCTCATTCAATAAAGTTCTAGATTATACACAAGTGTAATTTATTTATCTATAGTAACTCCACTTAAACGAAATTATAAATATATTAATGTTTTAATATCGTTTAGGATATTCTCATATAATCTATTATGTAAAATATGAAGTCGAATTGATATAATTAATCAATATGACATTTTCAATTTTTATCCTATTTCAGAAATACTTGCAGAAAGTCAAGCTGAGGATTATGCAGATGTTACTATTGCACCTACATCTGTGGTAACTGATATGGAAAATTCAGAGGATTTTGATAGATTTGAAATCCACGAACTTGATGATCCCTTAACGAAAAACTATCATTGTTCAGCCAAAGATCCACATAAAAATGGAAGCGCTGTTCCAAATCCAGATATGATAAAATATTTAGACAACAACGGGATTCTTTCAATTCGACCAAAAAAAAATTATTACCAGGTAATATATATTTATTCAGTTTTCTCTGTTTAAGCTATTAAATATCTTTTTATATGTTGGTCAGTAAGTGTGAACTGTTTTCTACATAGGTTCGAGAAGTACGCCGGAAGTTGTGTCAGTTTGGTTTCAATCCTTTCGAACCTGATAACAAAGCTGGTTCGATCCACAAACGTTTCAAGAATACACTTCGCCTCATGCTGTACAACACTCCAGGCATGTTTCCGGGTCTGAAAGTCATCAGAAATGATTTGGATCGCAAACGAAAGAGGGAGCCACAGATCTGGTTTCGTTTCGAGGCAACCAACGGTACGCTACTGGCTGAGTTCGATTATGACAACTACTTCGTTACTATCAGCGGAGATCTGGCTCGAGTTCAAGCATATTCAAAGTTGCTCGTTGCACTGAAGATGCATAAAAGACTAAATAATTTCAACGAGCCAGTCAGCTACAAGGTATAACACGAAACTATATGATGTAGTATTTAGAAGTACGTAAACTAAATTTTAATGAACTATCCAGGTAAATCTGGATCTTGGTATCATGGAGGCCATTTTAACCAGCTTTGGAATTTGGATGATGAGAGAGAAAACAGTGAGCACTCTAATGGTGAATGCGTTGAATGGGATCCGTACGGAAATTGGTGACAAAGGTGAGACTCGATTGGAATTCGAGGAGACCTTGAAGGATGCTGCTGATCAAGTCGACCCTCTTCTTTATTCTTATATCTGGTTACTATCCATGGCGGAGAAATACGACGTTGTTAAGATCCGTGAAAGAAGCTCAAACGGTCAAGGAAAGCCAAGAAACGGCAATTACGATAGCGCAGCTCGATTGAAACGTGACCATGCCATTGATTCAACTTCAAAAACTCATTGATGACTGGTAGATAAAATATATTATGGTATATATCAATTAACGAAAAATGATTCCTGACTGTTCTGCGTCAAGTTTTAAGCTAATAACGGAATCGTTGAATAAAAGTATCAATAATAAGAATGAATTTTGTCTTTTTACACAAAATACCAAAGTTCAGTAGAAAAATTATATTATTCAAGATTTAGATATACTTAAAATCAGTATAAGTATATGAGAGTATAAGTATCAGTACTACTATAATTTATACATAGTACTAGTATTACTATTTACGAACAATCAAACAGACTTTCACCTGTTAATTGAATATTGCTTGGTAATATATCCTTTAAGTTGAAATCAATTGGTTTTCTTTTCAATCTTCTTAGATTGGACTTTATTCCATCAGACCTTAGACTCTACTAAATGTTCTTTTTTCATTCTCTCAGAAGTCAGAACATTGTAGGACACTTACCAGACCGGTCGAACATTACGACGGATCGCACTTTACTTGTCATGAGTAACACATGCAAACGATAACTTTTAATTTTCTTTTGGAACTACTTGACTTGACGATTATTAAAACTGGTAATACTTAGAAGTATGTGTATTTTTATCAAATTATAATATGCTTGTTAAAATGGTAACGAGTTCAATAAACTTTAATTAACTGTTCAATGTGAAATTTGTGTCAATCAAATAAAATCTTAATATTCGTCTAAGCTGATAGTTCATTTACTTCACCTAGAAAAATATCGACTTTTTAACGTGTAAATTTATATGAGAAAATACTGTAGTTACGAAAAATTAAGATTTCAGATGAACATTGGAAATTTTAAATGATTCTGTATTACGAAGAGTTCAGCTCTACTTGATCTTGGTCAGGTTAAGTTGCGTTGCTAAAGCTGTCGTTCGGAGGATATCGTGTAATTACTTGTAATTGCTAATGGTTATTATTAGTCTTTCACCGCTAGGACATGGTTGGCGGGAAGTTGACAATAAAATTCATGCAAGCATAATCACTGAATGTAATCATGGACAGCGGGACAGATGCTTATTAAGTAATTAGTATATCAGTTATATTATCTATGCTGTAGGTAAATAATTTTTATTTTAAGATCAGTTATTCCACAAGAATGTTACCTGTTTACTACATACAAAATTCCTAATAATGAGTATGTCTAATTCTACAAATATAAGAAAATTCTGTTTCTTATGAGAAAGATAAATAAATATCTTTTGAATACCAATTTGTATCAAAAACATACAAGATATTGTATGTCATAATAATAATTTGAATTTGAATAACTTATTAAATTAAGTACCCGTCATACTAGTTTTAATAATAAATTTTATAAAATTTATGATTTTTAAAATTAAAATTTAAAATTTTTAGCACATGAATTATTTCGTTGTATTTTATATGATAAATAAGCTATTTCTTTGTCATCATGAGTATAATAATAATATATTATAGGATAAAATGATATTGTATCATAAATGCGTAACTGATTAGTTAGTTACCCGAGCGAATTGGTAATTCACAACAAACCTCAGAGTATGTATTATAGATGGCGAGAACATTCACTTAGGCGGCAGAAGCAAAATATAAATACTCCAATAGTTTCTTTTCTTAATTTATTACACGGTTATCATGAAACCTATTTCTAGGGGGTAGATACATTAAATGTAAAAAAAATCGTTAGCTCATGTACATTATATTACCTTGAAGAGTTAGTAAGTAATATCATAAAATGCCACTTAGAACATTATAGAAGTATGCGCGACTCTCATTACTACTTCGCACTTTCGCGATAAGTCTGCAGTAGGTAAACTGATAATTAAATTTAGCGGAAAAATTAGCTCTTCTAAAGTTACGATAAAATTCATCTATTTATATATAAATGATAAATGCAGGAAGAAAATTGGGATTTTCCAATGGCCTTAGCCTCAAGGTTGAAACTTTACTATATGTTTAAACATAGAGATAATCAATGATAATCGTAATGTTTACGAGCAATAAGCTTCGAAGTAGCTGTACTAAATTTAATCATGGCAGCACAGTCGGTACTATGCTATACTTACGATCGTTAGTGATAATCGTGGGCATGACTACAGCGACGTTCAATACCTTATGTGTCCATGAAAACTGATAGAAGTTTACTGCGAACAAATTTATCAACAGGCTTGTTAATAGGGAAACTTAAGAAGTGATAATTTCTAGAAAAATGCATTATTGATTACTCGACGAAAAATCGAAAAGTAGTTTAAAGTTGTGAAAAAAAAGTAACACATTCTTATTGGCTATGTGCGTATGTACACAGATCCATTATCTAGAATGTATTGCTGTGCACGTGCATTCTATCAGCGCTATCAATTTTGCTGGGCGCTGATTTCTGCTGAAATTTTCATTTGCGTGTACATTTGAAATGCATGCTTAGATATGAACATATGTGCATGTACGCATGTAAAGAATAGTAGATCATTGAAATTTATGAAAATTCGTTAGTACTTTTCATCATACACTTAATCGTTCTTATGAGAATTACAGGATTTTGGAAAAAAAAACTTGAATTCCATGCTAATTATTATGGAACTAAATAAGATTCTACATAAACGATATTTCGAACATTTGCTTTAATAAGAAAATGTTTATATATTTGTTAAGGCTGCTGTTCAGTTATTCTATGTGCACACCAACACAGAATGATGATGTTGAAAGCGAAAAAACATAATTTCAATTGTTTTTTTCTCGTTCATCTCTACATGATTTATCAAAATCTTTGATAAGCCAGCTTCGTTATATGATAGGCCTGACGACTCTTTTAGATTTATGGTCTGAAAAAGTTTCAATATCCTCAAAAATATATGTTAAGAAATCATACATTTTTTACCTTTTAAAACATCACAGTAGCTTAATTTTTGTACATTTTTCTTCGAATTAGAGTATTTGATACACTTGAACGCAGAAGACCCGTATTCCATATCTGATATTATATATGGAAGGTGGCTGAACTAATAATTAGACGAATTAATGAAAAATGTAGGAGAATAATAAAAATGACGTTTCCTCGCTTTTGACGTTACCACTCCGTGTACGTGTGTACACATAGAATAGCTGAACAGCAGCGTTGAGATCATTCAATTTTGTGGTTTAACTGGTCACTGTCTATACAAATTTTTTGTATCTATCTCTAGGATACAATAATAAATCATAGTTTTAAATTGCAAAAACCTTCGACGTAACTTGTAGATGACAAACGAAATGTCTATGACAAAAAAAATGCACCTTAAGGTTATACATGCCATGAAGAACTCTTTATTTAAGAGCCCATTGTCCTCTCCGATAGAAGATATAGTTCTTCGTATTTCCAGAGACTGAGTGTAATTCTATTATACCTTTGTGGTATACAAAATGAATTACAGAAAAATCTTGAGACTAGTCAAGCATTTCAAAAGTGGTCTGTTTTTTTTTCAACAAATCTAAGAAGTGACTCAGAGCTGCATGGTTCTCAGGGAAACAATGGTCTCCTCGCGAAATAATAAGCGATTTTCATGCACTATTGGTTGTGAATAACAATGGTGTGCATTTGTAGTCATTGCTTTTGAATAAAATTTCAACAGTATAGTTATTTCCATCACTGCACCTCTATTCTGCAGAAAATATTTAAAAATTCGATACCCTTACCTCCATCATTGCACCATAGTTGTACCAAACTGCAATAAGCAAATTCAAAAATATATTTTACTAAATAAGCACGGTATTGGTATCAGTGTAGGTAAAAGATGTTTGCAAGATTGTATATTCCTTGTATACCGCACACTGAAAAAAAATGATTGTCAAAACTTTAACAATGCTTGCGATACCCAATTACATTATATAATTTACCGAAGTCGTTGCTATTTTTTTTTGTAAAATTATTTTACTTACAATTGGTAACAAGAATAAGTAATTTCTTTTTTAAACGAAGTTCAGTGCACCTGACGACTATAGATATCCTACCAGTGGAACGGCTTTTAGGATCTAGCCGCCATGGGCAGTGCTCGTTATCGTCTCGTAGTGTTTTTGTTACAATATCCGTTACAGTTATCGCGGCGATGGATGTCACGGTTATTTTTAAATCGCAAGCGATCTGTAACGGTGCATAACGTTCCGAGAATATCTGACGTATAATCGAGCGATCAATACCTAAGACATCGATTATCGTCATTTTAGAGGGACGATTACTGAAGGCACGGAAGCTAGAGTATGAAGAAAGAAAGAGAGGAGAAAAAGAGAAAAAAAAAAGAATTAAAAAAGCTGAAAAAGTGTTGGAAAAAAAACTATAATAAAAGGTTAGCACTTCTGTTTCATAAGCTGTATTTATAAGGATGTTATCTCGAAGCGGGACGAGAGGAGGAAGTAAGCAGAGTGCCATTAAATAGACCAATTTAAAAGCGTTTAAAAATAATCCTATTATGCAAATGGAGCACAGCCAATGGGCGTCTTGGTATTATTCCGAACAGCATGACCGTATCTACGGCAGAGCATAGTCAGACTATCCCTATGTATCTAGTCTATGTACATATGCGACCGAGAGAACTCATATGCGTGCGCATAAAACATAATATAAGATACCTAGCACGGATCCCAGTTGGCGCAACATTATGCTTCGTAAATACGGGGTGGTTTATCCATAATGCATCCGCCACACCCTGAGTTCATCCTTCGGATAACCTGCATTCGATAAGGTCTCAGCGTTTAGATAGTCCAGCTGAGTTCCGCTTACATCCCCCACTTTTACTTCGATATACTCGAAGCCAACTGATCTTGCATCCATAGACCCAACTCCTGTACTCCTTCCACTTACAATAAGCTCTCTTATCATCTAGCTATTTATGCACATATGAACTCACGTGGGTGGTAAGATGTCACATGGCAGAACTTGATTCTTAATATGTTCGTTTCTTCATGGTCACCAGCGCCGGCAGTGACTTCGGTGGCCTGATGAATTAAAATAAGAATCTCGCAGAAGAACTGCAGGGACGTTGACCTACCTCATGGTGAAGATGGCGAACCTCGACGTCGTCGGATGCTCCGATCGTCGTTATCGTGCTGCTCTTCCTCGTCACTATTACTCATTAGAGATACGTGGCTACCGTGACTTCTCCAGCTCCGAACGTGCTGCGATCACGAAGCTCAGGATAAATTATCGCCATGGATAGATGCGTAGCGCAGATCGGTTGTCTAGGGTCTCGATCGAATCGGACGGGTTGCCAGTATCGAATCTAACAGAAAATGTCGCACCAGGCAAGGCGAGAGAGTCCGACTCTCGCGGACTCGAATGCTAATGGGAGATGCGATGCTCGATGGCAAACGAAACATTCCGACGAAGCGGAGATCCCGTATCAGGGAGCCTGTTCGTTAGTTGAGACTCCGAGAGTTTCTAGCTTATCCACTCTTGCTTCTCTTCTCTCCGCTTCTTTGCTTCCCATCACCATTTCCACTTCTCACCCTGGTACCTACTCCTATCATTGGCACGGATAAACCCTCTGCTTACAGCTCATTGCTACTTTTCGATCGCTTAGTCGTATCAGGCGCTATGCCTAAATAACTTCTGAATTGGTGAAGCGGGTTCTAGATATTACGCAGCGGAAATCTCGGTGGGAAAAAATTGAATGTCGTTTACCAACCAACCAAAATATTCAAATCTATTAATCCATACGGAAGCATCCAGACACGTCACTCCCGGCGACTTTGTCGCGGTGTGCTTACAAGCTATAGGTATCTCACTCTTAATTTGAATGCTCGAATAATCCTTGGAAGTGGGAAGACGCCGATTACGAGTACCGGTAACGCCCGTGGACAATGCTTATCGCGCCGAACAATCTGTGGCTTCACGGCAAGATCGTGAACGCGGCCGCATCGGGCACCACGAGGGTAAGCCGGGACCACAGAAGGTGAAGTCACCTGTAAAATGCCCGCACAATGCATAGCACGTCAGGTGTCTTTGCAGCTAATCCCATAATGAAGCTCTCTACGATACACCCGATTGCCTGCTAAGTCCGTAGGCTTCATCGCACCTCAGGATCTACACGTATCTACCTACTGGTTGGTCCATATGGACCTTCTACGTTAGAACGTCCCGCAGGCCGATCGTTTCG